TGTCTGGCAGCAGAAGGCAGCATATTTCACTCCTGCTGTGCTTGCTCTGGGAACTCAGCTGAAATGGACTGGCTTGACGCTGTTTTCCCCATCTTGAACACATCTCAGACACAGATTTTCTCATGTTTCCACATCTTAACCCCAGTATGACATGTATGATGCTCTTGGTACAAGGAGAGGGAATGGAGAAGCTGAGCGCCTGGCTCCTGTCTCTGAACTGTGCTGTCTATCAGGATGAAAACACAGAACTGACCTAGACAGAAAGTTCTACTCCCTGAGCTTGGATATATTTTCCTCTTATTAATGGAATACTGTCTAAATTCTGCCCATGCATTAGCACCTGATACTTCAAGCGGCTGTTCATTTGGTGTCATAGTTAGGTTTTCTGCTTTTGAGAAGGGACATCCACCCACGTTTAATATGTAGATAAGTTTAGGTTAGAGTACTCTAAAAATCCAAGATTTTCTTTGCCAATCCCAAGACCCAAGCATAAACTGTTGCATTTTATATGAACCTCTAAATCAGTTTTGCCGTAGCTTTCTCTGCAGTCTCATTAAGTGGAATGATGTTATATTTATTACTTATTAAGTTTTTAAAATTAAAATATAATTGAATCATTTTCCTCCTTCCATTTTCTTCTTCCAACTCTTACCATGCATCCTCTCTTGCTCTTTCTGGAATTTATAGCCTCTTTCTTTAATTGGTCACATGCATACACATACACACAGACAGACACAAACATACACACACAGAGAGAAACAAACAAACAAACACACACACACACACACACACACACACACACACACACACTCCTAAATATATAAAAACAACCTGCTCAGAATGACACAGAGAGGCATGATAACATGGGAGTGGGAAAGAGACACCCAACCTTTGACAAAGAACTACAGGAAACCAAGGAATATTGATAGCTGGAGAAACAGTCTTCTCCAGGGAAGATCACCTTCAATTGGTTATTCAAACCACGAGGTCAGCTCTGAAGTCACACACAAATATGTATGATTTTATCCAGTCTTATCTCTACAGATAATTGGTAGAATAAGATTCATTCGTGTGTGTGTCCATGGGTTTAGTTCTTCTTCACTATGGCAAAATAGTCCACTACTTAAATATGCTAGAAATACTCTATTATCTATTACCTATGTGTATGTTATTTCTAGCTTAGGACTCTTATACATATAGTATAGACAATTTTACATATTGTCTAGGGTATATGTGAATACACTGATGATTAATGTTTCCCCATATCTGAAGAGACTAACATTCAGATTCTCTGGTGAATGCCAGCAACCACAGATAGAACCCTTTCTACACATATAAAAAATGTGTATGGCTGTACATTATGTAATATACAAATAAAAATTTCATATAGGATACGATATATTTATAGTAGTTAATTAAAAATCAGACATGTGACACAATAAAAAAACTGACCAGTATTAAGATAGAATAGCTATAATAATATACTGTAATAAGAGCTTTTCAAAACTGAGAGTTTATTTCTGGATATTTATAGTTCTATACTTCTAGACCTTATTCAATTGTAGCTAACTAAGTCATGAAAAAAAGGAAGTTGTGAGTCATAGGTGAACTGAAGGATCAGTTGAGGTACTTGTTGTTTAATCTGTCCCCAAAGTGGCAATACCAATCTACATGCCATCATGCATTGCAAAGATGATTGGTTACTTCACAAGCTCTACAGCTTAATTATCAGTCTTTTAACATACACTTTCCTGGCAGTATACAGTAATTTTATTACAGTTATTACAGTTTTAATTTGCATTTCACAGATGTGCACTGGTATTAAGACATTTCAAATGTTTTATTTATTTTTACTTTTTGGGTATGAGTGTTTTCCCTGTATTTATAACTGCACAGCCTGTGTGTGTGTGTGGTGCCTAGAGAGGTAATGATGTGGCACCAGATCCTCTGGAACTGGAGTTACAGTTGCTTTTGAGCCATCATGACCCTAGGAACGGAATCTGAGACAAGAGTAGTTCAAGAGTACATGCTCATCCCTACAGCCATATCTCTCCAGCCCTGGATAATGACAATACGTATAAGCCTATGACCTGCTAGGATACCATCTTTAAAAACATCCTCAGCTAGCAGTTTTGCATTTTAATTGAACGCTAATGTTTTTCTTATTGATTTGTAGTGTTTATTTATACTTTCCTAGTTACAAGTCTTTGAGTGCAACTATGTGTTAATAAATCTTTACCCACTGGAGACGTTCTTTTATATTTTCTGAAGAAGGTTATGAAGTTCAGAAGTTTTAATTAGAATGGGGTCTAAAACAATTACATTTTTCCATTGCAGTTAGTGAATTTTGTTTGCTTGTTTAAAAACTTTTATCAGACTCAAGCACATGAAGGTACTTTTATTTGTATATTAGCACAGTTGGATTTATGTTTCAAATTTATATTGATAATAGAATTAGTTTGTATATGATATAAGGATAAAATCCATATGTTCCTAAATGATTACATAATGCCTATCCAATTCATTGCAATTATTATAATTTAACACGTTGAAGTTACAAACACACACACGCACACACACACACACACACACACATACACACACACACACTTATATACTGCAAACATGTGTGCGTGTTTATTACCTATTCTGTCCTTACTTGCTTTTTGTATAGAGAGCTATATAATAAATCTATCCATATTTCAGTTTAGTTTTTTAATTTACTATTTAGTGGTATGTATTCATACACATACCACAATATATGTGTGAAGGTCAAAACATAATTTGCCAATGTTGGTTCTCTTGTCTTACCACATAGGTCCCAGGGATTGAATCCAAGCCATCAGGCTTGGTAGCAAGCACCTTTATTAGCCAAAACATTCATCCAGCACTAAGTCACCCAACATCTCCCAGATTATTTTTGCTATTCTTTATTGTCTAGCTATTGAATTCTCATGTAACTTCTAGTAGTTTCTTAAATATTAACATAAAAAAGTATTGGGAACTTTTATTAGGATTGCCTTGCACCCAGGTCAATATGGAGAAATTGACATCTTTTCATAAAATCAAACCTTTTCATCCATGGACACGATACACTTTTTTGTTCATTCATGGTCATTTTAAAACAGATCAGATGCATTGTAATTTCCAGGGTAGAACTACTGAAAATTAGCTATCAAATTTGTCTGTAAATATTTGTTGAATTTTTGTGCTACTAAAAATTACCTTTATTATTAGATTTGTGATTTTTCTCAATCACTGTCTTTTTTCTCTGTGGTTTTCATTTTTCTATCTACTCAGCCTGTATGTATTCAGATGATGGATCTAATATCTGATCTGCCATATAATACAAAGTGACATATGAACTCTCAAAATTATTAGGATAAACTCAGTGAAAAATAGATAACGGTTTCATCCTTATGAGTTTTTTTCATCTCTCCTGGAAAGGCCACAGCTTTCCAGCCAACCTGGAAGTTCTTTCTACCCCCTCCCTTCTTTATATCCCCATTGTTTCTTTCTCTCTATCTCATTTCCTCTGTGTATATGGCTTGCAACAAACTAATCAATCTCAGCCTGAAATGGAAGATCTCAGATAGCTTACATTGATAGGAATAATGCACCTGGCCTAAAATGGCTTCTATAAGAAAATTTTAAGGATCAGTTTATAGAGGCCTGGGAACAGTTCAAGGCAATGAATTGGGAAGGTTAAGGTAAAACAGTTATGGTTTAATGACACACACACTCCTAAATATACATACATACATACATACATACATATATATATATTCTTCAATATATTAATTATATATTAATGTACAATTAATTTGAATGTATGGGAGGAGTGCATGAGGGGGGTTGGAGGGAAAAATGGAAGTGGAGAATGATGTGATTGCAGTATCACAAATAATAGTCATTGTAAGAAAAATACTTATGGAATTGATTAAACATGGTAAAACAATCTTAACTTCATCTTCCCCTTCAGTCACACTCCAAATCCTCTGAACTTGCTTTTTCCAACTCTTAATCCTTGTCCTGCATTTTTTGGCTCCCTTTACTGGGAAGACTGGGTATAACTGTAAATTTCTTATGAATGAGTCTCCTTGAGTTCCACAACAACTGAATGAGAATGTGCATATGTGGCCATGCATATGCCAGATAACTCACGCATATTAAATATTGAAGGCCACTGGCTATCAGAAAGAGGAAGCTGGAAATCAACCATATACACTTCAGTACAAATTTAATGACATTCATTTTAAAATCCTGTTATCTTCATCAAGGTCAGTACAATGATGGCTGCATTTTAGTATACAGAAAATGTAGTTGAAGACATGATTATAGCCAAGTTTAATAACTGAGGTAATTTATTTAACACACTTATTCTTAGATACATCTACCTAGTTCCAAGATGGCAAGTTTGCCTTTGTACAATCTTAATTACATAGAACAATGGTTTCCTTTTATTCACCACCTACATAGTCAGAAATTTCAGACAAACATCATTTGTCAAAGAGTAATCAGTGTTCATAATGATATTCTCATTGTGTTACAAAGATACAAAGCCTTAACTGTCAAAGACATAATAACATATACCTTATATTTGATCAGTATATTTAACAAGCCTGTTGCCTCTGGAAAGAAAAGCAATGATGTCAGGTTGAGAGAAGCAAAAGACTATCCTTTATCACTTGATTAAGTCTCTGTGTTAAATTATTCTGGGGAAACTATTCACACATTTTGAGAATGTATTCTCCTAACAATGCCAATGAGGCAGAGTTAAATCCAAAGAGAGCCATTGATGGAGAGGAGCAAAAACCAATTTGCAGTAACTAGAAACTGGAAAATGTGTCAGAGAAAAACGGATGACAACAGAGACATAAAGCCAAAAGTAGGATACTATAGCAAAAACACTTGACTAAACTTGAGAGTGTGAACAGGAATATGCAAACAAAGCCATGATTTGCCCTACAGAACAGAGAACAGGCAGGAGTCAGCCTTACCTCTTCCAGTTGCACCATGAGAGTGACATTGTGACCTTGTTCTGCTGTCAGTTTTCCATCTGCCGTGACAATTCGGAGCCCTCGAGGGGCCTTCCCTGGACACTTCTGTGGTTTGGCAGTATACTGTTCCCTCACACCATCAGTGCAGTTATTGGAGACCACCTTCCTATACCTAAGGACAGAAAATCACAAGTTGTACATCAGTTCGTTCATGTTACTACTGAGATTTTAAATTAGACCTATAGCCTAGCATGAGGACCAGGAACGCCCTAACTGCCTACCTTCCATGCTGCTGGCAGTAATGTGGTGATTCATATAAAGTATTGTTTGAATGTTTACTGTCCTCCATAGGTTCGTCTGTGCTCTGGGAGTGGTGGAACTTTCGTGCAGGGGGCCTATGAGGCAACTTCCCACTGAGGGTGAGACTCAAAGACGGTGGGATTCTTTGGTTCCTGGCCAATCAGGGTGCAAACGAGCTGCACTGAAAGCTCCAGTTGCCGTTTATTCCCTGACATGAGGGACTGTGTCTCTCAGACTGTGAATGAAAGCAATGTTCTCCTAGCTTAAGCTGTCTGTAATGGACACATCACCCAACACCAGGAAAAACAGACCAAGAAATGCCACCTAAAATTAGCATTTTCATGGACTTTTAAAAACTGTGTTTTTGTTTTGTATATGTGTGTGTGTACATGAGTATAGGTATGTGCACCATAAGCAAGCAAGCTCCTGTGGAGGCCAGAGGAGGGCACTGCACCTCCTGGAACAGGAGTCAGAGCTGATTGTGACTCATCTCTGTAGTCTGCCATAAACTTCTTTTAGTTACCTACTCAACAGATGAATCATTTCCTCATTGGGAGCTGTGAGATATGCACAAAGGTGAAGACATGATCTGTGATATCACTATGTTAATAATCAGTTGACGATACATAAGAAGATGATTTGGGTGATGATTCAAAGAACACATAATTATGATTTACAAAAAGTGCCAAAATTATCCTCCCTTGCCCCTTGTGTACACATTCCAGGACACACAGTGAGACATCTATGATAGCAGATAGAACTAAATTCTGAAACGAGTATACTTTTTTCCTATTAATTTATAAATTAAACATAACAATCTGCTAAAATGAAAACTAACGGTAAACACTTATAATAAAGACTGTCATAAAATTACACTCACACTGTTAATAATGTTATAAAGATATGCTATGTTTATATAACTAAATGAATTTATGTGAGTGATACAGACATGAAAAGGCATGCAGTGACATGCAGAGTCAGAAAAGAGTTAATCCCAGATGCAACACACAAACCATTCATTCCTGGGATTTTCCATCTAGACTGTGGTTAAACCTTGATAGCTAAATCTGTGGAATGTAAAGCTATGGATAAGTGAGAGTAAGGACAAGTATACATATTATAAGGCTATTTGCAATGCAGAGAAAACAGGTTGTCATGGATGTGTGACTCAAACGGAAACCAAGGGTACCAGTAGCAGCAAAGAGCAGGAAAAGATGGCAAGATTTGGTAATATCTGCTAATTCATGAATGTTTATTCTGATTAAGTCCTGGAAGCCTCCTCTTGAAGGCTAAGTAAACCCGCTACACTATTGAATTCATTCTAGATGCAACCTTAACAGAAACAATGGATCTTTCGACAAATTTATGCTATGCAATTCATTCTATCTGTGGTAAATTAAGCCTATGATTTTAGAACAGTGCCCTTAGGAATTCTGAGGTCTGTGTCATCTACTGCAATGAGTACTTTAAGCACGAATGTACCTGATTTCCCAAACATACTTTTTTAGGGTTAATGCAGAGTTCACTTTAGAAGCTATACTAAGCTTTCCACTGTTCTAGATCAAAGGTTAGAAAGTAAATCTCGAGACTAGCATAGACAATATGTAAAAGAATAGACAATCTTAGCTCCCTATTAAAGTCCATTCATTACATCCCTGGTAGTGGAGTGGACTTGGCCTGCAGGCACTTTTCTGCTCCACTGATACTTAGCAAGCCTGCTTTCCAGTATGGGCATGGCTCCAGACTGACTGCTGAAACCTAGGGCTGAGAAACAAATGAGATGCTTTTTGTTAAAGATCTTTATACTCACTGGGTTAGGACTACGTTGATAATTAATACTTAATTCACCTTGCAGGATAGTTACAAGAATAAATGAATTAAGGTACAAAGACTAGAAAGGTAAGTGCTATTTTATTTAAAAGAATTATGACTTCAGCTTTCAGTTCCCAACCCGTTTGGCATTCAACTAGCCTCAAGACATGTTGAAAATCCTCTAAGCCACCACTTAATGCTCTCTACAAGCCTTCTACCTCCTTTCTGCCTCTCTGAACTCTTTGTCCCAAGCAAGCTCATTTGGCTCCAGCCAAATCTTTCTCACTAATCCCCTAGAAAGCATTAGTTTGTTCCTCCACGCCCCACCTGCTTCCTGGAGCTTACCACCCTTTACCTCTTATGCTCTCAGAATTTCTTGGCTAGAATGGGAATATAGCAACAACAAAAATACAAATTTGCATTACATAATTATTCCTCTGCTCTTGTTATGGTACAGGCTCTCTGCATGACTTCCTGCATTTATTCTCAACATGCCCTTAGTGAGGAAGCCACTGCTATCATTCTCCAATATGCAGATATAGAAGCTGAGGCTTAAGAAGTATTAACTAGTATTCTCAATACCACATAGTCAGGGCCCTAGATTGTTGTGTCACGTGAGCATATACTTTCTGTTCTACCATATTTCAGTGTCTCTTTAAATGGAGTGAGATTGAACTTCTGACCTCTTGAGACTTAAGGGTTTATTCACATGATCGAATCCCTTGCATGATTTTCTTCCTATCTGGGACTTTGAAGTGTAATCTCCTTGATGGTCTCCCTGTATCCTAGATATATGCAAGGCTAGGCAACAAAAGGTGCACTCTGGCATGAATGTATCAACTTAAATGATGAAATGCCTGTAGGGTAGTAGGTTATCACCATTGGCTCAAATACCACACCCACTGATAAATGTGTGTGGATTCTATCCTCTCTTGATTGTGCAACACCTACGATTTTAACATCTGGACCAACAGGGACCCTCCACACCCTTTCATTAGCACTTAAGTCACTGTCATTGGGATGGTGCATTGTCATGTCTGAGGATTTTGAATACCAGTCCAGTTTAGGTTTTTATGAGTATATGCTGGCATGAGAGAGAGAGAGAGAGAGAGAGAGAGAGAGAAAGAGAGAGAGAGAGAGAATGGGAAGAAAATGGTAGCATTCTGGTTCCAGCAAAGATGGGAAGAAATCAATCAGCAAGGCCTTCTGGGATAAGAAATATCTCAGTATGTTTAACTGCATCAAAGCTGCATGAATGTTTCAGCGGCAAAGCTCTGTGCAAATGGAAGGTGGTCAGGAGTTTTAATTGCTTAGTATCTAAACACACCTGTGGCTCTGCCGTGGCGAGCAGCTATAGAAGCCTGGTCTCTCCATCATCATTGGCATCATCAGAGACTGAGCTCTCCTTGTGTTTGCTACTGCTATTCTGACCAATCATCACTCAGGCTTTCCCAAATCCTGTAGCTACAGGACTCTGCTTAAATCCAAAGCATGAATCTTTCCCTCCGGGAATCAGCCACAGAGAAGACTGTTGGTGATTTTTTTTTTTTTTAATGCCCATTAAAACCCATTCTGAAACCATTTTATATCTTGGATGAAAATGGCATCACATTAGCCCTACCAGACCTGTCCCTGAAATTTAGACGAAAATTGTGCAGAAATACAGAGTTAATTTACTCAAGAAAGCACACACCTGCTTTTTGCATCACAGAATGGTTCTATTTTCATCTCGGCAGCTGCCCCTGTGTCTGAGTTACATAAATGAATAATGCATTTAATATGTTATTAAATGGGGTTGCTACCTCCATAATAACAAGGCAACTTATGATTATGTTGGACCTGAGGTCTGAATATTACAGGGATGCATTTAGTTGGAAAAGCATTCTTCAATCTGCCACAAAGAAAAGAGTGTTGTGATGGCAAGGGAGTCTTTTTTACAATTACTGAAAAGGAAACATTCTGTAAATGCACCTTTGATATTACCTGTGGCTCATCAGTAGATGGGGCCTTATTACTCAAACAACCCAGTCCTAACTATTCTCCCCCTTCCCATCTCCATATGCACCCTAACCGTCTACTGTTTTTGATTTTACTTTCTATGCTGCCCCAAAGTCTTAAAAAAAAAAGGCCATATATTTTCTCCATGAAACTAAAACTGGAAAGAAAGAGTAAAAGTGCCCATATCCCATGATTTTTCAACTTAATATTTGTCCTCTGAGTTTGTGGTGATGTTATTGAACTGCAGACATTTACAGCTATTCACTGTATAATGAGATTGTATTATTGCCTGCTCATGGAATATCTTAATTCAGTATGTCTGTATAGTAAAAAGTCTTTTTTAACTGATAGAAAGACTTTATGGGTTATAAAATTAATGTTTGATCTGTGGAGACATGGTAATTTGTATCTCCTGTATTTCACAAGCATTATCCAATCTTTTGTAGCAAAAAATGTCAAAATTGAGGTGTTTCTCTTTAAAGTTTCTATCCATTGACAAATGTTACTCTCACCTTTAATCAGGGAAGACCCTCCCTTTTTGCTCGGCTGAACTGAAGTGACTACAAGGCAGGCTCTTGGATGTAATAGGGGTTAGGAATAAGTGGCAGATCAGTACTTGAACCTAAACTAGACCTTTGTGATATCCCTGTAAGTCCCAAAGAACACTGTAGAAGAGGGAAGGAATGTAAAAGCTAGATGATAGATAGTACTTCAAAATGCTATCTTTGAACAAAATGCATCCATCCAAATCATTAACTCACATTAGCTTCCAGGGCCTGTATTGTGTCTGGACACACACTGGGCCCTTTCACACTTGGGTATGGGATGGAAGAGGGGCACTGAAGGCACCAGCTCTTACAGCTGAGATAATTACTATTGATAGAGTCAAGAAAAGAGAGCGCCATTGCTTTCTAATGGATACCTACTGATAGTCCAATAGACTCTAATGGGTAGTTCCAATCCGCTGGCCCGTCAGACAGATGATCCTGGAAAAACTAAATGGGTCACAAATAAAAACCAAAACTCATGGATTTGAGAAGGGGCCTGATGGCAACAGTGAGG